CAGCACCAGCACCAGCACCAGCACCAGCACCAGCACCAGCACCAGCACCAGCACCAGCACCAGCACCAGCACCAGCACCAACAACAACAACAACAACAACAACAACAACAACAACAACAACAACAACAACAACAACAACAACAACAACAACAACAACAACAACAACAACAACAACAACAACAACAACAACAACAACAACAACAACAACAACAACAACAACAACAACAACAACAACAACAACAACAACAACAACAACAACAACAACAACAACAACAACAACAACAACAACAGTAGCAAATTAGGGTAATTTATAGTTCTTGCCTCCATTGCTTGACGAACGGAAGATGGATATGCAATGCCAGCCCCTGCACCAAAGATTACGCCATAAGTAAGAGAAACTGCCACTAGGGAATGTTGCACTGTGAAGTATGTCAATAGCAGACCCAAACTAAATAAACAAAACATACACTACAGTCAGAGCGATTACTATTTGTTGGGTCATATAATGTTATTGTTGTCCTTGTTGTTACGATTCAACGATTGTTCTAGTTTATAGAATTACAGAATAGAACAAAGGTAACAAAAAGCATTAGAGTTATGTGTGAGTGTTATTCACTCATGTATTTAGGTCATCCTAAAGCTTAGTTGCCTTTGTTCTATTAGTCATTTCCTATGTAAGTCAGTGATCCGAAACCATACCTGTTCACCAGTCCACCAAGTAAACTAGTCATTCTAACTCCCAGTTTCAATTCGATCACTCCGCTGCCCAAGAGAATGACATGTAATGCAATTTGATGGCAACTTAGGACCCACATACTGTCAGAGTGCTGCAATGTTGATGCGGTTGTACGATAACGCAAATATGAGGTGAGGTATGGACTAACGTTGCCTGAAAAGAGTGGCATATAATTATCAAACACAGAAGCAATGCATCCACGATCAGAAATTGCGCCTCTTAATTGAGAACTAAGGCTAGCTCATCTTAATTAACCGAACAAGCATATATGTGGGAAATACCCCAGTGATACACAGACTTCTTTGCCGATGTTTTTCAGCATGCATCTGGGCTGCCGGATTTGCCATGAAAGACGTTAAATCGTAGGTTTCGTCGTGTTGCTCAGTTTCAATTTTTGAAATATTGTATTTTTTTCCTTTTGCCAAAAATAGTTCTAGCAGTTTCTATCAGAACCATTGAAGGTACTTTCTAAATCACTTCTGTTCAGTTTTTGTTGCCACTTTGTATGTTTTTGGTATTTTTTCTCGGCTATTTTGCACGCTTTTGCCCAAAACCTGTCGAGACAAAAACAAATTCGACATACACGTAGAACAGTAGCGAAGCCAGTCCGACAATTTGGTCATGCTATGCCAATTTTAAATCATTATCATTATTCATTTCTTTACAAATTGATTGTTTTCACGATGTATGAACACGGAAATATTTGCATAGCATGACCGAATGGATGAGTTGCCGGTTCGCAGGTCCCCTTCGTTTTTCGCGGCCAATTGCCCCCTGGCGATCCCATAATACATTGCATTTGCAAATAATACAATGTATTATGGGATCGCCAGGGGGCAATTGGCCGTGCAAAATAAAGGGGGCTTGCGAACCGGCAACTCATCCATTGTCGGGCTGGCTTCGCCACTGACGTAGAACTATAGACAAAATTACTTTGTTGCTTTGGTATATTCTTTCTTGCTTTCTGATAAATTTTGTATTTAAAATAAAGCTATAGTTTTGTTTATATTTTTGGCTAAAAACCATGCAAAAACACAGAAAGAGCAAGGAAGTGCCACGGACCACAGTGCATTATTAGTAGGGACCGATCATTGAAAAGAATTAAGTAATTACAATATATGAATAATTTAGACATTGTCCTCGCTCTGTTTACAACGCTAAATCACAGATTTTCACGTCTTGATACAACGGCTGCATTCCAAGCAACAACAAGTTCAATTTCAAACTGGGTTTTATAGCAGAACTCTTCCCAACCATAAAACCCATGTCTTCAACTTCCGTAAGACTGTATTAAATTCATACGATTGATAATATACGACGAACTATCTTTACTACCATTTATTTGAAGGAGTTTGTTTTGGCCGTCGCCGGGCGTCGCGTTTCCGTCCTAAAATCGTAAGGTCTCTATTGCATCACAATGCACGCGCATTAGCCAATCAAATTGTCTGTTATATTCCACCTATATTATAATTAAATTTCAACGTAGCTACAACAGTAAATTGTTTCATCAATAATTTAATAATAATTCTCAATAACTTCAAGCGAAACCAAAAATAAGCGAAATATTTCAATATTCACAAGTATAAGCTAATACTCAGTGTTTACACGCCGCCATTTTTTCAGCATAATCAACAATATGATACCTTATTACTTCCCATCACCCCCTGCACGCATAAACTAAAAGCTGGAATTGCCTATTGGAGTTACAAAACCATTTTTATAACTCATCAGGAATTCGTCATTTCAGCATTTGTATTTGTAAGAACTAAAATTCCGAAGTCGAAATTTTCCGCTCAATTTCGTTTGTTTGAATTGTCAGCGGTCAAGTAGAATTGATTAATCGGATGGTCGGCACAATTCAAAAGAAATCAAGCGAAGTACTTCGACGACAACATATTTCTCTACGCAATGGCAGGCAACTCAATGCCTTACAGGTAAACTACGTGAAGCGTTCCTCTTTTGAGTTTCTAAATTGATTGCAATTTTCCTCATTACATTTGCAATTTAAAAAACTCCCTTGCAAATTCCTTGAGGAAATTTGCAATGTTGCTAAAAGCCAATAAAATTTTCCTCAGTTCCTGTTAGAAGTTCTTAACTTCCTGTTACAAGTTCCTAACTTTCTGTTCTGTTCTGGGCGTTGCAATTGGCTAACAAAAATAATCGACCAATAACAACGCTCAGAACAGAACAAGAAGTTTGTTTGCGTTGGAAAATTGCAACAGCCGATAGGAATATTGCAAATTCCCTAAAGGGATTTGCAAAGAGTTTTTCAAATTTGAAAAGCTAATGAGGAAAATTCCAAATGAGTTACGAAGTCAAAAGAGGAACGCTTCACGTAGTTTACCTGTAATAATCCATGGTCTGTCACATGACCCGCTTTGTCGCGACGAGTTTGTTTATTTTTATTTGTTTACCAGTTATTGACTAGTTTCTCGCTCGTTAGTAAGCGGATTTCCCAACAGGCAATATATTGCCCAATTGATAGGGGATCCGAGGCACCTACGATTTTAACGTCCTAATATCCAAGAAGACGCGGAATCTAACCATTTACTGATGTCAATCTAAAGGTAGAACTACTGTATACAGGGTGTCTAAAAAAAATCCCTACGGAAATTCAACAGGCTGTCGTGCATCATAAACGTGGCTAAACAATTCAATTTTTACATAGGACGAAAGAACAGTTATTTAGCTTTTCTATGCTACTCTTTTTAAATCGTAACGAGGAGAAATGGCCACATACTCGCCAAATAAAAATTGCCGGTCGAAATCACATTCTTCCACCGTTGGGAATTGCATGGAAAACGAAACATAAACAATTCCCAAGAGGGAATTAAAATTGAATGTTAAATTATCTAAAATAAGCTCAACTCGTCAATCTTCGTCTTAGTGAGACCATAAGAACGTCCATTATTGTATTAAACATGGTTCATTTAACCCCTGAACAGAGAACATTCGTAATCAAAACGTTTTACGAAACAAGTCATCAAACAAATAAACAAATCGCGGTGCTTTTTTAGATTGATTAACTTTGCATAATTAATGTTTTTCTATTCCCAACGGTGGAAGAATGTGATTTCGACCGAAAATTTCTATTTGACGAGTATGTGGCCATTTCTCATAGTTACGGTTTAAGAAAGGTAGCATAGAAAAGCTAAACAATCGCTCTTTCGTCCTATGTAAAAATTAAACTGTCTAGTTAAGTTTGTGATGCACAACAGTCTGTTGAATTTCCGTAGCGTTTTTTTGGAGACACCCTGTATATCTCCTAAATATTTAAAGACCTTGAGTATAGAGGTCCGACCAAGGCCTTGAGTATAGAGGTCCGACCCAGACTGAAAGGCAAGCGTGGTGACCACGACAGTATTAAATAGTAGCTATTTCTCAGCGGGCAAAATGACGTTTATCCAACGTTGAATCAACGTTGGCAATGACCTTCCAGACGTTGGATAGACGTTGAAAAAGGGTTGACTATGCAAATTGGATCGACGTTACTGTTTCGACGTTGAAACAACGTTGAAATTAGGTTGCCAATCTCGCCAACCATAATTCAACGTTGAATCCACGTTGAAACAACGTTGAGATTGGTTCACAAATTGACGTCGTACATTTAACGATGAATGAACGTTAATTCAACGTCTGTTGGCTGCTGTTGAACCAATGTTTGTAAAACAACGTCAGAGCAACGTAGATATTAGGTTGTCGACGTCGCAACCTTTTTTCTACCAATTTTCAACGTTGAAACAACGTCGTGTGCCCGGTGGGTTATATTGATTAATCTAGTAACTTACCAAACGTGAAAAAGAGGGAGCCCAGCGCCATATGAACCAACAGGCCGCCACAAACTGTCAATAATCCTTTGATTTTAAGTCTACTGCATCGCGACGTCTTATCCATGTGCCCGAACGTACTGCTTAAGACCTATTCTACAGTGTGTATAAAAAAAACTGAACCCTTTCAAATTCAAATTAGCTATAACGTATTGTAGTAATTTGACAGCTCTAATTGCTTTAAATTAATGGTTGGGTAAGAATACTAGGTCTTGTACTCATGGGACAAAACTCAAAGAAATAAAAATTAGAAAATTTAAAAGAAATACAATATTCCTTGTGTTCTTACCCAACCATTAATTCAAGGCAATTAGAGCTGTCAAATTACTACAATACGTTATAGCTAATTTGAATTTGAAAGGGTTCAGTTTTTTTTATACACCCTGTACAGGGTGTCCCAAAAAAAAACGAAAACTATTGAAATCACTTATTGTTAAATTTGAATGCCCTACCAAACAGCTGGACGTAATGATGCGTAAAATATTGACAAGGTGCATGTATTAGAATTTAGTTAGGAATATCTCCTGGTAAAGTGCGCGATTTTCTGCACCTGGGAATTAAAAACAGCTTCTAAAACAGTTTCTTTATGCATAAAATTTACTTATGTCAATCATTTATGCACTCGTGGGAACCAACAGAGCGCTAAGGCATTCAAATTCTAACAATTAAATTGTTATTGGTGATTTGTGTATAGCCCTCGGACGTCGGCAATTAAGACTTAATTCAAGGCAAAGTCCTTTACAAAATCATTCGATACTTAGGTGTGTTTTCATGGTGCGTTTCTGCTTTAAAGCAGCAATAAAATTAACTCCTTTCCTGTTAAACGAGTTTTAACAATGCACCCAAACCAATTAATGATGCGGAAAAAATGAATAAATTAAAGAACACATTCCCTGCATGCCTTAGAGCTATCGGCATTGTGCACGCGCCTGCAAAAGCGATGCCGGCGAATCAAATATAATTGCATTCCATAAATTTGAAGCCTTTTTGCACTACGCCATTACCGTGCGTTCACGTTGGCTTCCACGTTTAGTTTGTTCGAAGTGGCTAAACACTAATTGCAACAATTTAAAAACAGATCAAGCGGATAAGCCTGTATTACTCTGTATTGGCATACAGAGTACCATTCATGCGTGTCGAAATGACACTATTTGGAGAATGAATAAATTGTTCGATCATTATATTTGTGTTTCATTTATAGAATTGCAAATAAATCATTTTTTAAACTAGTATATTTTGCCTACCGTGTAAAGCAAAATAAAAAGAGGTTAACAAAGAAAGGTTACACCTAATTAAGGGAATATGTTTTCTAATTTAAAGCGAATCAACCGTGTGGAAAGTAAGTTCTTTGAGCAACTTTTGCATATTCATGTCAAATGTGAACAGTTCAATATACTTCATATGCATATTCTAATTCTTTCAGTGTCAACTACTTATTTTAGTTCATTTGCTCCCAGCTAGGACAGGAAAAATTAGAATATACACATCAAAATATCCAACTTTTCAGTCACATTTGAATTTGCAGACAGTTGCTCAAAGAACTATTAGTTTCCGCAAGGTTGATTCGCTTTAAAAGTGAGAGACTTTCCCTAAACGCCCGTTTCTTTATTTTTTTATTTATTTATTAACTTTACAACCATACATAAAATAGATTAAACCCTACATAATATGGTTGAAGGTATGGTCAACAGGACATGAATAGCCCCAAGTGAAGACCAACCTTAATTTTGCTTTACACAGAAGATAAAATATGCTATAAGTTCTATTGTGGCTTTAAAAGTGAATCACAAATAACGATTTAACTTTGACTTTAACATGCACATCGACTACATGTTATGATTCCCGATTGGATGCACATGCAGTATGTGACAACACTTGGATGCACAGTACGTGGAAACTCTCAAGATTGAATTGGCTTTTTTACGTCACAGTAATTCGAAAATACACATGATATATGCTTCATAATCATTGCCATTTTCTAAAGAAGGATGTCTCAGCCGTCCCCCTTAGCTTTTTTATCGCCTGGTACACCCTTCCGGAAAGTACTTGGCCGTGGCCATAGAGCCTCGGTTCCGCGTTTGCCAGACATTGGGCTATAGAGCCCTTTATGCGGGCTTTGTCTTGTTACTGATTACAAAATTCTAACAGGATTTTCATACTCACTGATATAACTGTACGGTTTCGTAAATGTGTCACCTGGAACAAGAAGGAAAGCTCAAACCCAATATCTCAATCACGAAAACGAGGCTCCATAGCCAAGATTCAGCCCTTTCTGGAAGAGTGGATTTCACTCACCCAAACTCATCGACTTGCTGAGTTGCATTAACAGTAAGTCTAAATCAGGTTTGCCAGATTGCTGAATAAATAAGCCAAACATTGTTATAAGCGGCCCTTTGGTTTCTTTGTTTCCAACAAAGAAAACAAAAGGTCATTGGCTTATTTATTCAGAAATTTGGCAACCCTGGTCCAGGGACGCCGGAACTGGGGGGGGGGGGAAGGAGGGGCAGCTGCCCCTCTTGCCTTTTGGTAGGGGGGCAAGGGGGGCAGAAGTGCCCTTTTAGTTGTAACATACTACCTGATAAATCACATTTCCAGTGATGCTTTTTTGGGTAATTTATAGGCCCAAAGAAAGTTAATTTACAAAAATAAGTGTGAATTTGGAAAAGAATGAGGTTAATTTACAAAAAGTTTAGAAAATTTTTTGGATTTTAGAAAATTTTTTTTGGATAAATGGAGACTGAATTGCTGATGCCCGGAAAAATTTTTTACGTGACGAAAAATTTTGGTATGTCCGGAAAAAATTTTTGAGCCCTAAAATGGTACACTGACCGAAAATTTGTTGGCTGGGGGGGGGTTAGGTCGCCCAAAAAAATTTCATGTAAAAAAAAATTTTTCAGGTAAATTTCGAACTTTTTATCTATAGAGGTGCCCTTTGGTGTGCGTTTGCCCCCCTTTGCCTTTTTATCGTCCCGGCGTCCCTGCCCTGGTCTAAATCCAATGTTTTCAGTGAAAAATAGATCTCAGCTCCAGTCGTGGGCTTTTACAAACCTCAGTACATAAGAGTTCCCCCCTGGTGATATCGTTATAACGAACTCGATGTAATTTGCCTTTTGAAGGAATTTATTTTTATAATTGTGTCGTGCAAAAACTTTGTCCAGCGCCGTTGCTCGCTATTCGTAATATATTAAATGGCTATGTACAACTTTTGAATAAATTAAATAATATTAAATTCTGTATATTAATTGTATTATAAGTCACTATAAACTGCTCTTGTATATAATGCTATTGTTCGGAATTTAAAATCAAATTCCTAATATCTCTATACATATACATATGAGCAAATATTTTGTTATTTTTCCTGTACTATACATCTTCGATTCACATACTATCGCTTGTATTCTAAAAGCTCACTCGCACTCACACTCAATGAGTGGAGGTTCAATCTGAGCTTCTTTTAAGTGTCAATGCTGTTTATGAATAGCTGGAGGGTTAGTGTCGTACCTCACTATGTGACTACTCACCCTCCAGCTATTCAAAAACAGCATTGACACTCAAGGGAAGCTCAGATTGAACCTCCACTCATTGAGTGCGAGTGAGCTTTTAGAATACAGGCTTAAGTCCCTGAAGGTTAGAACTATGTTCTATATATTTGTTCCATATACATTTATTACCCTAATCTAGTGGTATATATATTTCCATTTTAACGCAATTAGACTATGTTCAAATCCAGCATAGTATAATTGGCCACCTATATGTACGTTACCTCGTCATTTTTCTGTTATCGTTTCTTCATTTGATTGTACAAATTCATCTTGACGTTTCACCTCCCGTTTCGTTGTTAAATTAAATGAAATCCGTTGCCTGAATGGATGGTAGATTGCTTGGCCCGGATTCCAGCTGTGAAAGATGGATTAAATTTACCTTATCGTGCTAATCTTCTCATATCCTTTTATTAATAACCTTCAGATATCATTTCATCTTTTCCACCATTTTGTTTCGTCAATGCTGATTACATCAAGCATATTCCTGTGATTGTCTTTATATCTGAGAGTCTCTTGGGGGGGGGGGTATTCTGTGCTCCCGTATTCCTTTGGAAACGTTTCTTTTGTTCATTTGTTCCCCATAAATATTTCCCCATATTCCCTTGTTCTCTTAGCGTACATGTTCCCTTGATTTCCACGATTTTTTGGCTTTGTTCTCGTGTTGCCATAGCAAAATATACCTTGTTTCGTACAAAGCCCTGGGAAACCATTGAGTCGCTTGAATAAATTGCTTTGAATGTTGAACAACACGATGTTAGGCAAGGTGATAAAAGGAACGGTGTGATGATTTCAAAATATCCTACATATGTACTGCATCGCTGTATTTATCTTCATATTCCGCATCTTCATATGTTTTCATTAACTTCATTGGCCAGTCAAGTTTTTATATCACTTCATTTCATTTTGTCACCTCATTTGTTGTGGGGGTGGATGCTTCCCTCTGGATCTCCTTGCCTTTTCTAAGAATCTTTTGTTTATCTCGATCTCATCTGCTTAAATACTCGGATTTCTATTCGTCATACATTTAAGCAATATTTTTTCAAATTGGGAAAATCTTTCATCAGTGGTGTTACTGTGTTTCTTTAAACTATATTCCAACTAAAATCTCTTTCAGTAATACGATTTCAAAGCACCTCAAAATACTTCTGTTTGAATGAAGTTTTCACATCAAATTTCTTTGGTTTTCTTTTAAAACGTTTAACGTTAACAAAAACAGTGCATGAAAGTTCTCCATTTATACCGTATACGTAAGACAATTAGGTTTAACCGTTTTTCGTTTGACCAAAGATGGTTAAAATTTAACCATGCTGCTTCTTCTTCATTACATGTCTATGTATTGTGTTTCTAGTGAGTGCAATGTCGTGGTTTAAAAGATTGTTCTATTTCACCTTGTTCATTTTAAATATCGACCATTGACAAAAGGCAGCCATTGTAGACATGGCATCAAAGTCTAATCACCTTCCATTTAGGCAAATATATACGTCTCTATGCATTATCTTCCCAATGTTTCGATTGTCTTAGTTTAAAAGATTCCTTGCTCTCTATTCTCATGACTTTATCATGTTCATTTTGCAAATCATATATGCCAGTAATACTGGATTCATCCGTATGACCGCTGGCCTTACTCCCCTCATCGTCGTCGCTGACTTCGGCTCCTTCGATCGAGAACATTGCCTCGTCGACAGTCTCACAAATGTCGTTTACGATTCCGTCTTGGTCTTCGCTATCGTTTTCATCCAGGGGGGTGACTTTGTTTGATTTGAAAACCGGAGGGGGCTGTGGAGAAATACTTGGCGAACAGGCTGAAGAGTTCAGTTCCACAGGAACAATCTAAATGTGATAAGGATAATTTCAGTTACATTTTAGTTCTTCATCTAGATCTATTAGTTCTAATCCCATTTCCCTTGAAATCCAGTAAGTTATTTTTGATCCAATATACGTTACTGCAGGAGGAAACTTAAACTAAACTAACTTTCTTTATAGTGGACAGCTCTATCAATTCTAACATGCTCTTCCAAGAGGTCCATTAAAAGCCATCCCTTATTGCTGGAATAGTATAACGTATTAATGATAATTTAATTTGCGAAGACTCGTCATGGCAAGCCTAAATTCTTACACAATGTAGTTGTGTGCTCATAATTTTGCTTTTGAGAAATGCACCACAGATTTTCTCGGATGCTGTGGTTTCCTCCTGTAATATCGGCTTGAACCCCCAAATGGTTATTTTGAATACGTAAGTTACCAAACGTGAACGTATATACGACAATGTAAAGCTCAGTTGAATAAGTATTGGTACGAATTGTAATTACAACAGTACAAGTTTATTAAATCTATCTTTTAGCTGGCTGCAAAAGACGTATTTTCAACATTAGTGAGATTCAGATTTCATTTCCACTACCGCTACCATCAATGAACCGTTAACCAATCAGATGCGTTTGATACATTCGATAAACCAATCAGATGCGTACTAAGAGGTAGTGGAAGTCAAATCTGAACTTCTCTCTATTGTTTTATATGCGATATATTGCGTCAAGGGGGACTCACGTAAGTCTTGCACTTCTATAAAAGAAAACCACTTACCAAATGATCATTCTTCCTTGCGGTACCGTTGCTAGATTCCTTAGAGGATTCACTATGTCTCGAAGAACTTGGCTGTTTTGGAATACTGATGACAGGAGCTGGACCAACATGATCTATCCTATCCACACTGTTCCGTTCCTGTAATTTCTGATCTTCCCAATTGGGAAACCGACTGCCTCTTCTATTCATAACACCATTGGGTATCTCACTTGCTCTTCTCGCCTGATGTCCCATACTGGAATTCAAGCTATTCGGGCCGTTCATTTTTAGTCCTAATTTCTTAACTGCCACAGAATTCAGGTTTTCCATGTCGATTCTTCGGAATGCTTCCATTGGGTCGACCAGCATTTGCGTTTTGGTCTCAATCACTCCCGAAATTGCTACGACCACACTCGACATTATGGCCAGACCGATCACAAGATACAGCAAGTCAGCGAACTCCACAAACACCTAAACAACAACAATATATTTTGTACTTTTGTGTTTCACAATGTTTATAACAAGTTTTAATGCCATATAATTTGTAGTCTTGCTCCACATGTGCTGTTAATCGATATAGCATGGATCATGTAATTTTACAGAAATCAAATATTATAAAATTGAAATTAATGACAAATTACAGACGAAATAAAAATCAAATAATTAGTCTAGTAGTAACAGGGATCGGCATCGATTAGATTGCGCGATGTGTTGCACTTCAGGCAAACAGTTTTCCATATCATCCACGTAGTATATGACAAGATACAAGGGCATTATGGTAGTATTCTAATAGTGACTTTTTAAATAACGTTAGAGATAAATGATGTAGTCTTAAGTGTTCGGGTAAGGAGTTCCAGGTTCTAGTTGTTCTAATAAAAAATGACCGTTGATAGGTGGCTGTCTTACATCTACGAGGACGTAACGAGATAACACTGTTATTTGAAGATGATCGAGTAGGCCTTGAGGGAATATATCGTTTTGGCAAGATTTCCTTCGGAACAGTTATAATATCATTTATGGCCTTAAAAAAGAACATCAAGTCAAGATACTCATGAAAGTCGATTAGCTTAACCCTGGGTCATGAAAGTCGATTAAACTTAAAATTCAAAGCAAACTTCCTGACAGCTTGTTTATAAATTTGGAAATAATTTTTCACAAATCTTGTCTAGATCAATAGGAGTTCACTTTTCTGACGTTTTGAAATAAACAGACGTGCAGAAATACAGAAACCAATAGAGTGGGTTAAATTTTAACCGAGGGCTAGCACTAATCCACCTTCGAACAACCGGCCCCTGGGGTGTATCAAAAAAGGTAATCCAACTTTGGACTTCAATAATTTGGATTCTTGCACTTCACTTGGTGGAATTAATATTAGAATGTAAGGGTTTGTAATCCAAGTGAGAATATATACATTTTAAGACCTAACCAGGAACGACTGCGACAAATACAGCACAAGGTCCTCTGGTAGGAATTGAACCTACGGCCGTAGGTTGAATTCCTATCAATTACTAACGAACAATCATGAGATTCAACTGTTCACATTGCGACCCGCAGGACCACTTCTATTTCGGAAGCTGACTGAATCAGAAGACGTTCAACCCTCACAATCCTAAACTTTATGAGTTCGATAGCCCAAGATAAGAAGTTTTTCAGAAGGTTATTATGCAATATGACGTCACTGTAATGATAATTTGCACATCAAAAATTGTTAAAGGGAAATGGCAATATATATTTTTTATTTTCTCGTTTGAAAGAACATTTAAAACCAAAACGAAAATTCTTTTATCGTTCTTTTCATATCTTGCTTACTTCTACAAATATTTTAATCGATAGAAATGAAATGTCCGCCATCTTGATTTTTGTAGATATGCATGTTACGTTACAACAGGGGTCACGCAATATTTTTATCTAGACAACCACTAATCATTTTGCACTCAAAATTATACTCTGTATGCGCTTGGAAATATCAAAATCACTTGAAACCTTTAAAACATCTACCAATCAATATTTGGTCAGCAACGAATACTTTTATATGGTTAATCTCTGTTGTGACGTCACCAAAACGCTAGTTAATGAGATAAAAAATTATCCAAGATGGCTAACATGTCATTACTTCAAGTGAAAATATTTCAAGAACTAAGCGGGATATGAAGAATCGGTAAAAGAAGTTATTAAATAGTTTCAGAAGTTCTTTCAAATGAGAAAATAAAAAAATATATTGCCATTTCCCTTTAAATATCTCAAGAAAGAAGCAAGCTAAGAGAGTATGGCAAAGTATTTTATTCGGTCATTTTGAATTTTCTTTACAACGCAATTAAAAAAAAACGTGTGAAATTCGTTGCATTAGTACTTAGGAATAACGTGATTGGGAATGACGACAGGAAAATAAATATAATGCATCCTTCCGTAACCAACATAGCGGACATAACACAGCTTGACGTTCGATTTGTGGTCGTAAACTGTGCTGGAACTTGCTTGAACGTACTGTGGAACGAGAGGAGGATTTGATGCTGTTATCCCTAATCTCTAAAACAATTCGTTTACTCATGCATGTAAGGTTAAGTAAGGTTTCAACTATATTTATTAAGAGGAGAATCTTTTGTATGTTAGCCAGTATACGCTCAAAACTTAACTAATGAATATTCGTTTCCACTTGGTTATGACTATAATCAATTGTTTCATTTTTTATACGTTTCTCAAGCGGCAAACAAACTTTGAAAGTATGTTTGGTGCTTTATCTGTAAAATAATGCTAAAATGAAGAGACTTTAGATGATACGCCAAAGAGAAAATGATAGTCTGAAGTTCAGTAAGTTTTGCTTATATTGCCATATAAATATGGCGTCAATTTTATAGCATCATTGACCTAATGACCTTTATTTTGTGTTTTTCAACCGCCAAATAGATTTAAAAGGTTTGCTATAACTGTGCAAAATACAAAATAAAGCAAAAACTAATTAATTTTGAAAAGAACGCCAAAACAATTTTAGGTTTTCCAAATACACGACATAGAAAACTTTGCCTCTTAATAATATGTATTTTCTGTAGTATAATTTCAAAATATGGGTAAAATCACATGATTCATGCTATATTATCAGGGCCGTAGGAAGCTCTTTTCGATTGGGGGGGCTGAAAGCGAGGGCCGAAGGCCCGAGGAAATTTTTAAATTTAGAGTCTCTAAAATGCCATTTCCTGGACTTTGGGGGAAGATTTAACAGAATTTTGATAATCAGAAAACAGCGTTTTAGTATGTCGAAATTTACAGGAAAGTATGGGCCAGACTGTAGTATTATAAATGCGCGGCGGGAATTTTCGTCGTAAATGGCAGTTGCGCGGAAATGAAGGCAGAACATTTGAGAAAATTTCGAAAATCTGGAGTCTCTAGATGGTCTGAAATGGTATTTTCAGAGTTTTCTTTCGCAAGACCCAACACGCAAAAGACAAAATAAATCATTAGTTCATCAAAAATGTGCAGATTTTGTGGTATTTTCTTGAAAATGCGCGACAGAAATTCAGCTAAAATTTCTACGCGAGGAACGATCTGGAGTATGAGTAATATCTTCATTCTTTGCAGTTTGTGACAGATTAAATGATAAAGTTTGCATGATTTTGAAAAAAGAATGATTATTAGCAAATTATTGGGGGGGGGGGCTGCAGCCCCCCCAGCCCCCCGGTTGCTACGGCCCTGATTATGTGAGGCATGCTATGTTGCATGCATGACCTGCAAGCGTCAATGAAGACAGGTGGCCATATTATAATATTTTCCAAACCATGAATAGCTCATGAGCAAAACACAAAGTAAATTAGCACATGTGCAGTTGTCTTGATACCATGGCAACTGATAAACATCAATAAATTGAATCAACCTAAAAGCTGCTTTCCAGAGTCTAAACAGAAGTCATTGTGTTATGTTTTTTGTCTGAGTTTATGTTAATTTGCGCACAGCCACGGTAATTGAGCTTATTGTATTTTCGTATAATGAAGTAATCGTCCAGTAGAGATATAGCTGAGATGAAACGTGCAACCACGATGAATAATATTTTTAATGAAGTTGAGACAATGGATTTGTGCACGATCAGGTACAGCTCAACATCAAACATCAAACAAAGGTCTTCCACTAATTTGTAGCTTTGGTGTTTGCCAGGTTTCCAGACCATCATATCTTGACAGACTATGTTTCCGGTTAATCGTGTTTCATGCGTGCGTATGTATACGCTTGGAAAAGTTAAAATCCATTTAAATTTTACTAATGAAATAAGGCCACGCTTTTTTTTGTTGGATTACGGATATCCCGACCTAGTATTTTTAAAAAGCAGAAAAAAAGTATAAATGCCGCATATCAGTTTTGATGTGTTATTTGTTTTTTCATCCGACCATATTTTACAAAGTATATTTATTTTCCCAGCAAGACACCCAAAAATATATAAAATGTGCGAGAATAAAGTCAGGCTGACGTACGTACGTGCAGGCTAAACACCTTCAACACGCAATTGTCACGCATGGTCACACCACGTGAACATGAAACATGACCGAAGAAGGCGATGTTTACTTCGCTGTACTCTTTGACTTTGGATGTACATGTCACTGTGAGTGTGGTATTAGATATTAGACAATTCTTTTTATTTTTATTTTTTGCCCTCCCGCCCTTTAATATTGGCGAGCAAAATCCGTAATCCAACAAAAAATGCGTGGCCTATAAACTGAATTAATAAAAAGATAGCAAATAGTTTTTTCCGTATGATTTAAAATGTATTTGTTATGAGGTAATTACTACTTCATATAACATTTAGAAAGAATTAAACTTTTCCGTGCGCACACGCAACGTATACGAAAAACATTTGACTGGAAAGCAGCCTTAATTCGACTTGAACTACGCCCACTGATGGCTAATAGAGGGAAAATAGTTTTCTAAACGAGTTTTACAACATTTTAAGCATTGGATAATGAGATTTGAGGCATGTCCAGTGGCGAATTTTTTTAATAACAAGAGAAACCACTGCATGATGACCAGTCACTCTCTGTACAATATATTCACTTTGAATTCTTGTTCACAGTTCCTCAAAAACTCTAACAAAAATTAACCTATTAAGTTGCATTGCGTCCCAACGCGCCATACTTTATTATTTTACTCTGTCTAACGCCAGACGATTTTACTCGTCAAGGGAGAGCGCTGCAGCTCAATGAATTAGTCAGAATATCTGCCCATGTGTCTAGTTATTTTGCGCCCCGATGTGCGCTACTTCATTGCTTCACTCTATCTAACCCCAGACCATTTTATTCGTCAAGGGAAGAGCACTGGAGCTGAATGGGTTATAAAGCAATTCAATACCATTCCATACCTGTGATTCAACATGACTGTCCGCTCGGAGTGCAGTCGGAACAAGATCACCAAATCCGATGGTGGAAAAAGTTATAAAACAATAGTACACTGCTTCCAGATAATTCCAATCTGTTTCTAGACTCGAAAACCCTATCGCAGGCACCAATATTATAAGCCATAGCAAACCAAATGCTATAACAGCACTCTTTAGCTCAGCGTTTTCAGTCTCGCGATTGTAAACTCTTCGATCGAATTGTTTAATTATTGCTATTATCCATTCGGTGATCCTGTTTCCCACCGAACGAAGCATCAAGGCTGTTATAGGAATTCCAAATAAGGCATACAGTATACAAAACAGTCTTCCCCATGTTGTCTCTGGTACCATGTGACCATATCCTAGAAATATGATTGGATGATTAGAAAATGGAAGATGATGATGACTATACACTACGAAATGTCCATATACAAAACTCTTCTACAAGTAATCAGTTCCAAAATCCTGATAATTGAAATCATGCTTCAGCTCCTTACTACCAGGTGATCTCGTGTTCGTATTTTAGCCAATCAGCGCTCAGAAAGGGTTGTCCGAATAGAAATCTATTTTGATGTATTCAGTCAACTATATCTTTCGTTATTCTTTATGAAACTAGTTGAAATTTTGTAATTATGTTTGGTTATGAGAACTATAGCTCTGACAAAAATATGGAATCGAAATAA